CAAGCGGACAAAAAGCATTCCTTATGTTATGTCTCATATAGACAAACATGGTGACCGGCCAAAAGGTCCGCGCTGCAAGGTTGCATGCACAGAATCAGCAGTGTCTGGAGTGCAATCGGCAACGTTCCGCCATGCTGACCCATCCGGCTCGCCAGAAGAATCATTGCTGCCCACTATTACTAGACGCTTTGATCGAACCACTTAACGAAAAATAATGTCATTTTTATTAGCTAGACATGGAGGAGCAATAGCTTAAGCGACGCTGTAGCTCGTAACGCTATAAGTCTCCGTTATTATTTTTTCCCTTTGAATTTTCGTTATCGTCGTTGTTTTCAGTGTGCACGTTCACTAGGCGCGTTCATTTGATGACACGACGTTCGCATTGAAAGACATAGTCCTTATCATCGTCATAGCGGCAGAGACTGTTAGGAAGAAGAAGCATCAACATTTGAAAAAGATATGTTAGAACGCCATTGGCAACGACCGATGAGTAATGGGGAAAAATGCTGGAGAGCTCCATGTGAGGGTATTCGTCAAGCCTAGATGGGTTGGCCCTTGGAGCCGGCTGTAAAAAAAAGGCGTTATTTTCAGCTTCTGTTTTAGGTTTTTGTGCTACGTTTGCCGAAGCACGGTGAAGTGAGTGGTGCTAGTATATTGGAATAACAGGGGAAGTAAACGTGAAGGCGAAGTTACTGGACCCAGCATAGCGAACTTTTGGCATTTCTTTAGCCAAAGCTAACCATCATATATCAATATGCGCTTCATTTAACGCACCGCGATACCTTAGCTTTGTTGAAATAAATTATTCTAACGTGGTCATCACGATTGGCACCGGCAATCATCATCAGCATCATTCCCTTTATTGAAGTACAGACAGAGAGAGACCTTGGTATTGACAATAGTCAACCACAGCGACCTACTATATGTTTCCAGAAGCGCAATATACAATGGTACTCCAAAGCTATTTTTTATTGTTTGGACGAAAATGGCCAGCGATGCTAGTGTTCGACGATCATGGCGGAGAACTCAGACAGGCATGAAATTAATTCCGACATAAATCTAGCAAACTTCGCTGAATATCTTCAAGGAAAAGATAAGGCTAACCCCTTTACACGATTCGTTTTATTAAATTGTCAGACATTTGGCCGGTACTAGGAAGATACCGCGGCGAGCCTTATCTCAAAATTGCACGTAGATATATGTAAAGGCAATTTGATTTCACGGGTATATTCTAAGGTAAGTGAACACACATTTGAAGATAATTTCAGAGATGCCAAAACTCAACGAAACGATCGTGTCTCGATACGATGCTGGCGTCCCGCTCGTATGGATGGACGCATAACTGAATAGGGAGAAAAAGGAAGATCTTTCAATTGCTAGCCACAGCAGCGCAGACGTCTTTCATTCATGCTCCTATTGTATCGTATCTACAGCCGACCTGCGGTGCGATAATCAAATAAATTCGATACTTTTGGAAGAACTTCGGAAACTAGGTTGTCCCTTGGCTGTGAAGGAGTTTAAAAGCAAAAATTCGCCAGTCGCTTTCGAGAAGCACGGTAGGAGCAGTTCTTTTAAAGTAGCATTTTTATAAGATTCCCGTCGGTCCATTATAAACCGTGCTCGTTTATAGGCCTGTAGGCCAGTGCATCCCTATTATTTAATATAAGAACGCTTGACTGGTGTGCATTTTGCCCCTGTAGATCTCCTCCTAGAACGCTGCCACGTACTTTTCACCAATATAGATGGCTCGACTAACAAAGCTGCTTTTATTTTCAGCCATTTGCAACGATTTTTTTCCCTAAATCTACGCCGCTCCCTATACTTTTAAATGGCCTGGAGTAACGTTTCTCAGCTTTGCTTACTTAGATCTGTTTGTTAAAGATGTCATCAACTTTTCTGCCAATTTTTGTGTCTGGTACCGATTTTCAAGACACTTGACCGCCCTCTGGTGATTTGCCCGCAATTCTTCAAAGTTTTATCCGTACCGCTCTATTTTCATCTTCTGGTCATTATCACGGGTTGTCTGTTCTTCTTTTCGTTTTGCTCGTTTGCTTTTTCGTACATTGTCATTTTTGGGACCCTGTCCGAAGGCCCCCATGGTCTACGCCTCTGTTTTTATCGTTTACATTCTTTATTCCACTTTCCTAAGTCAACGTATTTGTTTGCCAGAAAGGGTCCGAGGCAAAGTCAGACATCAAAATACCAGGAGCAGCCATCGACCCAGTTGGCCCTTTGTGTTACATTAAACTGTAGATGCGCGGGTAACCGCACGCACCACGTGCGTACGACTGTGGCGTGCTAGTACTACTGCACCCGCAATAACCGTTGCTACGCCTTTGACACTAGACCGCCTACGTTACCACCCAACTAATGGGTACTGCGCATCGTGGCATTGCCTGACAGCTTATAACTTATAACCAAAACTCACTCATTGTCGCGTGTCGCACACATCTGTCTTGTGTCAAACAGCGGAACGGAGCAAAATATGCACGTTTATACGTATGCATTTGGTTTGGCACGGCAACCGCTAGCCACGATCATGCTTGTTACAGCAATTTCAGCCATCAGCTCTGAATGACTGTTTCTACGTACTTCACTGGTTCGATTTCACCGTACGACTAGCCCTGCCCTTCTCTAACGGTAGCATCAGCAAATGTGTTGTACCCGCGTTTCGTCGAACGCTATGCAAAGCAACGAAATCACTTAATGTTTTGCTTTCGGGCGCTTAAATCGGGGCCTGCTCGACACTCGTTCAGACAATCCGACGCTGAATCAGTCAGTCAATTGCTACTTGCTATCCAAGTCTTCTATCTACCGTTTAGCAAACTGTTTTTTTGAGTATTTTGTTATCTCGGACACACACAGTATCTCTGCCAAGTTCCTCACTCACCCCCGTTCATCCACTTTTTCTGTTATCGCCCGATATAACTCGGCAGACACGCTTTTGATGGAAGGTGGCGGGGAAGGGAGGAGGGCCGTGGAACTTTCACAGTATCCCTTTTCTGGCCGCCACGCCTGCTCAACGTCTTCTTTTTTCTCTGGTTTTTGTCTGTGCGTTTCATGTAAATGTTGCTTCTTTATCTAGAATAGCAGATATTTTGCTTGCTGTGGTCGTTGATATTATTGTTGTTGGATCTCGTTTCTCCCAGCCTGATTGTTTTTTCTGTTTTTGTTAGATTGGCCTCACGCGAAGCTGTTAATGACTCTTGGACAGGTAGAGTCGAGCTAAAAAGCGTTCCAGTCGACGGTAGCTTCCCCCAAAGCACCGATATCCTTTTCTTATAATTCACGCGACTGGCCTACAAACTATCCCCCACACCAGCGGTACCTATCTCTAAGAGAATACTTCCTTGCTGGCGCTACGTAGAGTTCGGGCGTCGACGTTAGATAAAACCAACTAGAACTAGGTTACTACTACCAATGATGATTGTGCTTCCTTGACTTTTTTCATAAATCTCCTAAAGGAAAAGTTCATTGTACCACCTGTTCGTAGAATTTTGTCTTTAGCTATCTGTTATCTCCAGTTTTTTATGAGTGAGCCACGGTACTGCGATTAGGACTAATACTGTTCCGACCTTCATGTTTAGGTCGCACGGCTTACAGCTAGACGGGATGTTCGCGTTCGCGAGTCACACATTTTGTTTAGCGTATCGGCAACAATAGAAGTTTGCCATTATCGTGTGAACTTTCTGCATTGTCACTGGTATCCGACCATTCGCAGAAGGTGCATAGCCACGAGTAGTCGAGATCGCCAGCGACAGGCCTCTCTGTGGTGGCAGCAGTTAAACAAACGATTGGGATTGTGCGGTAACAAATGTATTTGTCTATACAAGGAGACCGTGCAGAGCTTCGCTTTTCCCGCCTCCTGGGAGGAAAAACCGCAATACGTACAACCGTTGTGGCAGCTGTCCTGATCCGTAGGTAAATCTAGCCAGAGACCATACAGGGCTATTTCGCAGCAACGGGAGCATACTGTGAGACGTTTTCCATATATACAGGGCAATAGGAAACCGAAATAGAGAGCATCCTCGTACGATCCACTCTCGAACAACGACGTGAAATTTGTCACAGGCTTCCTATTAAAGCAAGCATGCTACAGAACGCGAAAGAAACGAACCTGTCTGACTCAAATCCATTTCTACAATCCTGCTCCATAGAAGAGTATACGTATATCATCAGGAACCAAGTTTAGGTAATTTGATTTAATTGTCAGTAAATTCCTTACAGCTTTTCCGAAGCAGTGAAGCTCATTGAGATATGTGTACGTTACGGCTTACCTTATGTATTAACGAAGGGTCTTTTTCATCAACGCGATAATAATCACGGGGTTGGATAGACAGTCTATTCATTTTGCTCTCTTTGGCCATGAAACGTAGCCGTCTGCGTAGGTAGCTGAAAGAAGCATTCGCTTGCGAATAATATCTATGTGCTGAAACGGTTGAAATATTCAGTCTTCCTTTTTGCATATATACAGGGTCTTCAGAATGCCACGCAACCTCACAGACGCTTTTGAAGTTTGATCCATATTCAGAGCCATATGCATTCAAGCAGCAAGAGACACCTACGGAGTATCAAACCCTATTAGTCACATACAACCTTGCCAAGAGTTCAAGGCCCTTCAAAATAAAGAGTTGTCAATTCTTCTTTGTGTTGGGAAACATAAATAGGCATGTAGAGAGCTAGGAAAAAAGATTATTTACATGGAAGGTGCGCTTCCGGCTCTCAGAATTCGGTTGGTTGTGTCTCTTACATATAAATACATGTGGACGCATTCATCCGAAGTAATCACACATGTCAAAAGTAGCGTTTTTCGGACACGATTCCAGTAATTCTAACATTTAGGCCTTCATACAAACGTCACCGGGCCTCAGAGTGGATCCAGAGGTTCTGCTAAATTTCTAATACTAGAACAAATACAAATTCGTCTTAAATTCGTGTGCCCAAGTCGCAGCGCATCGTTGAGATAGCTGACTAAACATTTGGTGTCATTTGTTTTTCAGAGACCCACGCGGCAAAAACGACGAAGCGTCATTTACCTATTTATACTGCTTTTATCAAAATTGTCCATCATTGAGGTAAGATGGCTTCGCCCAACAAACGATACCCTTGTTTATGTTTCTCATAACGAGCAGTTGATTTATTTATTTATTTACATGATTGATATCCTCGCAACATTTCGTGCGCATACACAACCTTTACGTTAGATCATCGATGGTAGCCTTGGTGCACCGCACTTACACATGCCGATATTATAGGCACACTTTGATAGTCATAACATGAACTTTCCGCAGGGAACCCAATGGGATAATGCTCTCTCTAACGGAATTGAACCGGAAACTCGTCTACAAGATGTCCAGGTCGCCTGTGGAAAGCGACACATGCGAGTCCATTTGGATTTTGGTCCTCAACCATTTCGGGTAGGAAACAACCCGTTGCGTGTACAAGGGAGCCAAAGGTTAAGCGTGGACTAAGAGTATAACTTAATAATACCGGCTTAGACACGCGGTATTGATGACAGGGACACACAGTCCGCCAAATAGGTTTTGAACATGCAATTTCTGCTGGTAGAATACCATATCTACTAGTATAGTAATCTTGAGCTTCCCTATATGACTACAGATATGGAAAAATTCAAACAAGAATAGATCGTAGATAATCTATGCGAATTAGGTTGTTTCTTGTCTTGTTAAAGAAAATGGTATGGGTTTAGGTTTCGTCGAAGTCCTTTAGGAATAATATTAACTATATTTTGATTATATATTGCGTTTTTAAATACAACTTCCAAACTGAGATATGCTCGTGTTTATAGGGTTTGGTCTTTTCAAAAGGCCATCATGGTCATCCCGAATGCGTGTACGTTAAGCCTGGCTCAAATATTATTGGAGGTGTGGACTTCGACGTTTTCTACGACAAATGCGGCACAAAGGTTGGCCAAAAATATTCATATTAAAAATTGCAGATTACACAGAACATCTCTAATTAGGCATCCGTCAGTAATAAATCATATATGGGAACAGATTACTTCGAAAGACATATAAAACAGTAGAACCAAATTAGATTTAAGAATATTTTCTAAAAAAATACTTTTCAGCCGGACCACGCGGGAAGCTTCTATGAGAATACGATAGTAATTCAGTATGGGCAGGATGTTATTGAGGCATGGGATGAAGCAAAACGGCTTCGTTGCGAGTGGCATGATGCCTACGAGAAATCTGCGCTAAAATCCCCCACCATTCAGTTAGCAGACCTTGAAGTGCAGGAGCTTAATTTCCAAGGTATATACATACTATCAATGAGGATCTTTGAACAGGAAAAATCACTATGGCTATGTTAGGGGCACTATGGCTTATAGTAAAGTGCGTTGGGATGATATAGTGATTGTAAATCGTACCACTGACAGACGTGATCTTTTTTTCCAATACGATTCCTAAATATATTTACAAAAATGTAATGGCTTTTTTTGTGGTTTATCTGGTTCATCGTTCTAATTTCGAAAAATTATAAATACGAAACCATCTCTGATTAAAGCATAATTGGTAAAACCTTAATCGGATACTGATTATTCGGCATATATTGACGTTTTGATTTGTAAGCTCACCAAATAATAATTGGATGAGCGAAGTTAATAGTATATGAAAAATATTAGAAAGATATTTCATTTTAACATAGCAGTGCGACCGCCGATTTTTCTAATTACATCTGCTGTACTTTTAACAGGAGATAACATCGGTTGCTGGATGGAAATCCAAGAAGGAAAGGGTCCTTGGGCTCGACAAGTATCCTCGATCGTACCTTTAGGAGCACCCCTCACGATGGTTGTGGCTATCGCGGATGATAACGCTGAATTTGACATGCGAGTAAAATCCTGCTGGGCCCACGATGGTCGTAGACCTCCGTTGCATCTAACAGATGAAGAAGGTTGCGTGTTAAGGCCAAAGATGCTCACACCATTCGCGAAGGTTAAAGACACCCAAGGGGGCCACGCAAGTGTCGTCAGGTAGGCCGAAATCGATCTCCAAGCTATCCCATCTCAGTACTAAGTCATGTTTTGTTTGTGGAGATAAACCATCTCCACTTGTTCCGGCTCGTCCTTTTTGTACATCGTATTGTAATATTTTGAAATACTTCGTCTATTTTAAAATATTACTAAAAAAAATTATAACCATCTTTAGCGAAGTGAAGCATTGGTAGAAACTGATTTCAGTCTTCACAGAAGGTTCCTGTGCTTCAATGTGAACAAGTTTCTCCCGCCAATAGAATTACTGATTAAATGGTTTACATATCAAAGAGCTAATACTTTACAGGCATTCCCCTCGCGCTAATGTCATAGTAAGGTGTTTGGAATACTGAATAATAATAATAATAACACTAAACTTCTTGATATTTTGGCGATTCCCAATCTTTCTTATTGCTCTTAGATACGGTCTTCCCGTCGAGCGGAACTTAGCCCGGTTGTCTATTACGGGAATTCCTGACTTGCAGTCTGAAGTTTTTTGGAGACAATTCCTTCCTGTTCCAAAGATATATATATATATTTTTTTATTTTCAAAACCCCATTATTTCGTAGGTGTGGATGCCAGGCTACTCTGTTCATTCACTGCTCTATTGAATAACGATTTTTCAAACAACAGTCTTCCGTTAACTTTGAATTTTTCAGATGATTTGCTCAGCAAAAGCGAGAATTTCTAAACAGGTTTATATAAAAAAAATTGCATGTTTTTTTTAAACTGCGGGTTTTTCAGTTATCGATAAATTAAAAAAGTTATTATTTAATTAAATTTTTTACTTAAGATGGAGTCCTGACTAACGAGATAAACATATTAAAAGTTGTCTCAACGAGACAACATAGTTTTTCAACGTAGCAGAGTTATTCTGGTAACGGCAAGTGATTAACAAAAAGTTGCAGGTTATCTGAATCAGGACAGTATGACACAGTAACTATAATATAATGGTACATTGAAAAGTCAAATTCGCTAGTAACTGCAGTTATTTTATTAGCCTATAATCAATATAATTTTTCAAACATTTGAATGGAAGGAAGGACCGATTAGAAAACTGTCGGGCCGGTTTAGCACCCATTCATATTAAATAAAAATAGGGAATATTGTTTTTTCCTATTGCAGTTACTCACATTTCTACGCATTCAAGTTCCCGGACACCATCGAGGTACAAATGCAATGCGTCGTAGAAATTTGCAGGAATGGATGTCCTAAGGTATGTTCTTTCACTTTTAGGCTAAGATCTATTTACTTTGTATGGAAACTTTGTATTACTTTGTATGTTAGTTGTATGGAAATCGCTAGCAAACAGAGAGCACCGCAAGTAGATCATGCTAGTTACATCTCGATATTAATTAGCTAGCGCTAATCTTTATCTAATTACTATGACCTGATTCGTTCCATAGGACTGCCATGCGCCCACTGATGACCATTATGCCGCCAGCTCGAATCTTATCGTCGACAAGCGTCCACCATCGCCATTCCTCAAAGCTGTCACTCGACCTCCTACGACAACATCGACAGGCAAATCACCAAATTTCGTACCAATTTCTTTACCACCGCCTCGAGTTCATCATCCGCACTTCATACCACCCCCACCATCACAGCGACCCCTGGTCGCTCCGCTCCGAACGCCAGCACCTATTTTGGCCACTGCACAGTCCCCCCTCGTCAGCCTGCACGCACCAGCTACAGAATCGACTCACACGGTTCGAAATGGGGATAAAAGCACTGATCCTGCTCCCGTATACGTACCGACGGAACAGGCCAGCCAAGGAAACTCCGCCGAGGAGGAGGACTCGTCGGCGGACGCCGACGCTTCGGAATCATCTGCTGAATCGCATATTACTGTCGCTGGATTCAGTAGTTCGGATCAAGACAACACTTTGAGACGCTTTTCAGCTGTGCGCCATTATCCGCAAGGTGGCACTGGAAGCGTCGGTGAGAACAATCGACTAGGACACTACTGGCAGCAGCAGCTTGTCTCCATTCGGCCAAGAAACGTCCGTGTTCGGAGGAACGTCGACGCGCTGGGTGTACGCGGCTCATTCCGGGTAGTGGCTGCACAGGATCTGGCGTTTGCACCCAACATGACAGCAGACGACCCTGCTATTGTTTATGCACATGCCGGCGATGTCGTTTATGGAACTGTATGCCTATCAGCTCTATCCTTGGCCGCTGGCCTCGGCCTTCTCGGCCTATTGGGTGTATGCTGTGCATGTATAGCAGCTTACCTGTTCTGGGTACTTCGCACGTATAGCGCACTCAATCGCAATAAATGCAGCATGAGTTGAAGGGTCAATGTATAGAAGCTGGTGAAGGAATCCGACATATGTAATTGAAAAACTTAGTTTAAGTTAGGAAAATCTATTGCCGGTTCCAGATATTCGTCGAGTCCAGCGAGTTTGTCAAATGAGACGCGTTTAAGCATTAAGCATTTATGGGCCTAAAGTACGACCGTATTTCAAAACAATGTTTTCAAGAACTTGGCTGACATGAAACTTCATATACGCCTATTGAATGAAGACGAAAGTTACTGACTACGAGCACTTTACGATGTTTACTTGGCTAATGCCAAAGGTCACCAACTTAGTGTCGATATGATTGGCATTTCTACATCATGGAGCATCCTTACCAGTACAGACGTGTACACAATAGATATATTTATGCATTTCTATTTTAGCGAAATTGAAGTTTATGTCGGTGTTCACTAAAAAAAAAAACCACAATGTAACCGTTCCAAGTCAACTTTCAGGGGGTATTCTTCATTTGTAGACGTAAACAACAGCATGGTTAAATATGCTATGAAGTTTGATTTCGAAGCTGCAGAAACACTGAAGTTAATAGAGGTTGTGAAAGAAGAAATGTGTTTAATTAGCCGAGGCTGACAATAGGCGCTATTTCTCCATACGCATTGATATATTAATAACAATGTATGCAGTGAAACAATGACGATTTGTTTATGTCTGTATATAGAGCGAAAATGCAAAGCTAGCGGCCGTTGTAAGTTAACGGGATGACGTGTATCTTAACCTATTGATTTACATAAACAATTCATGGCAAAAATCAACAATCAATGCAATGAGCCAGATCGGTTACGATTTACCGCTGCAGGCTGCTGCGAAGGAACGATAGTTTACTATTAGCAGACGACGATCGGCAATTGACGGTGTCCATGAGCAAAAAAAAAACTGCGTATGTACATGTACATATAATAATAGAAGTTATGCGCACAGTTACTCCTGGGCAAATTATTTGTAAGTAGTTGGAATAGCACCTAGTATTATTAACAAATGTGCTCATTATATTGTTTAATAATTAATCACGCTCCTTTTTTGTGTATGTATATATATATAAAAAAGACAATACCCGTCTACCGGCGCGTCAACCAGGAAGCACAAACGAAAACGTTCACCAGCCATTTGGCGGATCACTTACGGCACACTTCGCTTCAATTATATGACCATATCGTTGCGGTCTTGTTCCCGCGGTGCACGTTCAAAAGCGGCACTGCGTCATTTAAACGCTTCCAGCGACGCGTATAAAAAGCCTTCGTAGGGCTTTTACCTGCACTCTATCGTTCTCTAAACGGCTTTCGGGGTATACGTCGCTGCGCTAATGCGTTTTAAATCAACGGCCGAACGACGTCCAACGGCAGTAGTGAGGAGTGGCGACGGCGTCAACCGCCATATTGGATACCTTTTCGATAAAAAAAAAGTACAAAGGTCAAACAAAGTCAGTTCACGTATTTAGCTGTGTGTGCTGATCTATAATATATTATACATCTGATAAAAACGGGCCTTTTTTTTATTACAAAATTATATACATATAACTACGTGTCCTGTGTATACGGCAAAGTGCAAACGATGTATGCGCAACAAGCGTATACGCCCTGTAGTGCGTTTCATAGACAACTGCGATTCACGTTTACTATTCAGACTGGTTAGGAATATGTTTTTTGATTACTTGAAGATCGCTCGCTGTTCGTTTTTTCTTTGCTAAAGAAAAAAAAAAACGAGGTACGACTATGCACTTCATTGAAGGGTATTTACTTAAGGATAGCTTACTCATTCCGCTGTTCCTGTTGCCGTCAGCTGTTGTGTGCACATCAGTGACTGGCTTTCGCATCTGCTCTTCAGCAAGCCTATTAAAGGATTCTGTTATCCACAACACCGATGCACAGTCGATTCTGGGATGGAAGGATATAGGAGATATGGGCAAAGGCTGACGCCTCACCAATGGCAGCCGATAACAGGAACTCAACAGAGACAGTAGTGCCTAATTTTTTTTAGCGATTATTGTCCTAAGCAGAATCCGAGCTGGCGAATATTCGATGAGTTGCGCAGTTCTTGACAGGAACCTGCCACTGCAGCTGTTGTGTACGCTCGTGGTGGTGCCGGACGTTTTTATAGCTTACACACTAACTCACTGGCTTATTCACGCTTTTTTTTCAATCCTGAAAGAAGCTTACAAAAACTACAACGACAGCCGGCGCAGTAACACAGGTTATAACAACAGTCAAACAGGATCCTGTTGACGTTACATGTAGGTGTACCAGGAAATCCAGCTCTCTCGCGACGTTCCTGCGCCCAGTTGGGTGCCACGTCTAATGGGAGTGAACTCATGTAGCTCATGAGAAGAGGTCGCGGCCGTAACGGGCGGTTTGTCGATTGTTCTCACATTTATGTCGACTGTGGGGTAGCAGCACCTGCAGTAGCAACGTATCTATAGTCCTGCCAGACGGAAATAATTTGCTATCAACTAGAGCGGAAGTGACTCAGGTTCTGAAAGGCTAGTGAGGTCTGCTAGGCGACCTTCCTCACTAGCCTAGTCACTAAGAGCAGCGCGACCCTATCGTGGAAACATCGAGGCAGACCGAGGACGCGGTCAGTAAGTGGCTGGCTAGCGACAGCTCGGCCAGTTTGAGGAAGGGATTGTCGAGGAGCTTTCTGGATGTCCGCGTTGGCTGGTTGAAACTAAAAAGGCAATAGTACAGAACAAGGCCAGCTAAGCTACTTCTGTTGATGCTCTGCTGCTGTTAACTAAGCCACAAAGGGGCGTTAGTCGAATCGCCTTAGTTAGAAATCGAGGCAACGGTATAAAAGGACAACTCATAGCTGCAGGGCTTTCCAGGTCGTCGGAGTACTCAAGAAGACGCGGTGTGCGAGAATCCAAATAAAGGTTGAAGGCCAACAAAGAGCGAGAATTTCAATACGCTTTTCTTCCACCCGATTTCTAAGCACTTCTAGATCACTCAATCAGTGTATAAAAACACGATCTGCATAGGAGTATTTGATTCAACTATCGTTTGCAAATGTGTATCGGAATTTTTCGTTAACAACGAACCCGTTACCAATATAGGTCTGCTATGTTTTCGAAACGATGATTAATCATGATATTGGCGATATTTTAACTTTTTTTTTTTTACTACTAATTACTGGTTTTTTTTTTTTTATAAAGGATCTGCAGTTTCGTAATTTGTGTCACTTAAACGATTCTATGAGAAGGTGATTTGTGTCAGCGGACTGGAATAACAGTGGCCATTCAATGCTACCCATGAATTCTATTCATAGAATTTTTAAAATTTCAAACAAAATCTCTACTCTACCTGCTTATACCTAGGATTCTATTATTCAGGTATTCTCTGCTGAATAGAGCGCATTATAGATAAGGGTATGAATTTTTACAGAATTTTTAAGCAATCATATGGTTATTGCTACTGTAAGAGGACGCAGAAGACATACATCTTACAAAAAACAAAATATACAAAAAACACTTATGTTATGTATTGCATGTACATACCAATCGTAGGTCAACCAGTTTACGATACAACCTATTTGCGTTGTTGATGAAGCTCGAAGCTGTGTTAAATGAAATTAGGACGGAGCAGGCTCTACATAGGCCATATAAGCCTACTTTATAGAAGGATTTTGTTAGACCGAAGCGTTGCATCCTGAAGGACCATCTTTCAGGGGGCCTTAAAAGCGCAATTTTTTTCATTAGAGAAGTAGACTTTTCATTGCTGTTCGGATACGTTTTACGTGGTCGAATCCACTAACTTGAAGACCGACGCTTTGTAGGGTGTAAATGCGACTCAATGGTAATGAGACAAATTTATACCTAACACGTACCGCTATGTACTGATGAACAAATCCAATGTCCATTTTAAAAAGTAAATAACCTTCTTTTTCACAGAGTTCGCCGGGTTAGAGAGCCAAAGGGATCAGGATTTCAAGAACGGGGCTGTACGGTTAGTATAAAATTTTAGATGTCCTACGATGCACCAACGGCTTAAGACTACAGGCCGAGCTTGCAAATCAGCTCAGACTACCGGATAAAATAATTGGTTTTATGTGAAATCATATCGATCCATTTCTGTACTAGCAGAATACTGATGGCTGATTTAGTTTTTAACTCACTTAATTCTTCTGAGCTGCGGTAAACAAGAGATTTGCGGTCTGTCTTCGAAATCTCCAACGCTTAACGCCAAACGTTGCCTTTCGTCATTTACATTAATAAATATTTATTCTGGGTAACACCAGATTTCGGCGTAGTTTCAGTCAGTGCAATGTTAACAAATGGATTGGCTGATACTAAGCGACGCACTGTAGTTTATTGATGTGTTTGTACGGCACCGAAGTGTTTTTCTATCCTGTTTTCAGACCTATAAACTCTACTCTAACAATGTTGTTCTATGTGTTTGGAAAGCTAGCACAGTCTGTTACAAGTTATTTTCATCTATTATCTACTGACACCATTTCCTTTTGAGGAGACTTAGGTAAACGAGAATCTAACGATATTTTCGACTACCATGTTTCAACACATTCAATGTGAAATTTCGACAGCGTTATCTTGAGGCCCCAATGCATCCTATCATCGTTCTCCGAATACCTAATATTAAAAGCCATGCTGACTATGTAACGGGGTGTTACAACGTTTGTGTTTACGGGAAATCGCTGTTTTTTTTCTTTACTGTGCGCATCTTCATGAAAGCACAAGGCTCTCCTAGCGCCTGTTCATTATTTAATCATCGGATAATTGAAGTTATGGAAGTTCAATGAGGCCTAAGCACCTGGTTCGCTGAAATTTCCGCGTCTGTACGTTATCGCCGGCCGCTTGAGAGAAAACAATGGTCAAAACAACAAGTCCAACGATGACCCGTCAATAACTACGTTAGTAGCTTTAACGAATGTACCGCAACTTAGCGAGATCGTTCGCTATTTTTCTGCTGCCCCGATTATATTAAAGTTAATAAGTCCGGCAAACACTGTGTATACATACTCGATGATCTGCCATTTAACAATATTAGTATCAGCATGAGATGTATCCCCTTCGAATTAACTAACGCAATAACAGTGCTAATTAGTATTCCTGGTCTTAGTGATTTAGATGTGGGGATATCAGTCTAGCGGCAGGATATGACAATGTCTGATCGTCGTGCAGGTGGCTTGGGTCTCTCCCTCTCGGGTCGTCCCAATGGAATCGTTCATGACAGTCGCGGCATCTACCGATCCTATGCCAACAAATCCAAGCTTGGTTGGCGTTGTTTCGGCAAAGCTTCCGTCGAACGACCCTTGAATTTCTTGAAAGCTTCGTTCCCTAATTCCCTTTGAAGGTTCCCGAAGCTGCCCCTTGCAAAATCTTTATATTATAGCGGGCATCCATGTTGGTGCTTTGCGACTTCTGCCGTGGCCGCCATCGCCTCACGTCATACGCGCCTAAGCCAAATCCGCTACAAGGTTTAGATGGGGGCAGCATCTTCACCCTATTGGATCCAATATTACTCTCTTTCTCTCACTTTGTCTTAGACCAAAATGGCCAATCGTCACCTATTTTCTCCGTTGTCGGCAGCGTTGTCTGTAGGTCTTCTTTCTGTTCCATTTCACCCCCACGCCCTCTAAGCTCTGCCTGTTCATTACACTGCAGCCAGTACAGGCAGGAGTAGCCGGAAACAAACGGTGGTTACCGAGGGAATCGGCGCTCCGGTCATCGCTGCCAACGCAATGGTCAGCGGGGACCGAGCACGACAGCTAGCATCGAAACACGGACGTGGCAGGTCCCTCTTTTGATGAACTCGTAGATAGGTGTATCAGCAAGCAAAAGCTTAGAACATTCTCTGCCGACAAGTTTTAGTCTGTATAAACTGTCTCCTAATAATAGTAGAAGTACCAGCTGCTTATTGCAAATGCTCCTCGCTCCAGATTGGTTCCCATGTATTAACCGTGCAGTCAGCATAGACAGCGAAAATATCGTGAAGCACAAATCGGATCGCTGGTTGTCACATCAGGAGTGGCGACAGTGGACTCCTAAATTTCCACAGACTCGTATCATTCCGAGACGTGGTATAGCCGATTCATCACCATCGTTTTTCTTGTTGTTATCACTCGGAATCAAGCCGGTCGATTTCTCCATTGGACTTGCGTATTGAATCCTGCCACTCTGAAGCGTCGCTCGTTCTACGCCTCGTCTGGGCGAAATCTATATAATAGAAGGCATCCCTACGAACGCGATGGCCCATTACACACCTTCGCTTGCGCTCTGGTTTAGCCTCGAGTCCGAATCGAGGTAAAAATGTACGAAAGACTTTGGCCAAGCACAAGCAGGGCTTGGCAGCCAGCGATGTGCAAGTAAAAGAATGCGAGACGGGCACGGATGAGCACAGGTAAGAAGTGGGGTAATGGTTGGCGGTCCTCGGCAGACTACGGGCCACAAAGGCAATCTAGAAAAAAGTGGCTCAGGATAGCAGAGGGACGTGCGGTAATAGGAAGGCGGGCGTAGGGAGGGAGGAGGGGTGCCACGGAGCGAGCAGATGTTTTCTCGAGAACAACGAGGGAGCAATCAGCAACAGGTGTTCAGCCGGTGGCTTCGGCAGTGGCGGTGAACGCTGTTCCAGTAGAAACTTCTGTGTTCCGCTTCTACAGCATGCAAACGTGCCGTGTGTACAATACGGCTTCGAGTTTCGACAACCAAAACGAGCCGCCAGTTACCGAATCAGCCACAGACAGCCAACAGCACTGCTTTCCCCGCGCGACGGGAAAGGGATCCATACGCCCTCGCCCGCTGCTAGCGGCCATAGTATAGTATTGCTTGTATTACTATAGCGCGCTGGGCCCCAGTTTCCCGACTTGGGCCCTGGCCATCCGTGCGCTATGCGCATTGGCACGACATCGTGAACACCAAGTTTACCGTTAAATGAGTATGTGTACGATGAGTGCGTGTTATCCTCGTGGGTGTACTGTGAGTTTTTCTAGGTATAGTAAAGGCCGTTAGTGATAATGCTGGCTTGACTTGTTCGCGCCGAAAACGTCAATTCAATGGGGGCCCATGATTTTACGTCTACCATCCGTTATCGACCTCTAACACATCGGCATTTTACTACCTATCTCGTCGTTGTACGATTTTTCGCGTGGTTTGTTTTCTTCGATGAATAATTAACGCCAACCAACTTTGACGGTGACAACGCAAAAGGGCTTGCTGCTATTCTTTGCTAGTATTTGATAATTCGAATGATTTCAGGGAACCATCCAGCCCAACTAGAATTTTTAGCCTTATAACTTGCAGCAGTTGATTCCATCACGAAGCTTTTTCTCCTTCTTATGATAGAGCTATAATATTAGTAATACGTAACATCATCGGTGGCAGGGTGACAATATATAATTTGTCAGAGGCAGTTAAAGAGCGATTGCAGTAGAATATGTCGATGCCAGTACTTGACAAAACGTAGCGACGGCAGCAGCACATGCTACAACCTCAACCACTTCGACAACAACGAATATTCAATGGATTGCTCGTAACTGGATGATATACAATCTAATGCCGTGATGAACTTCAGAAAATTATCGTTAAAGGGCTATTACTGATGATTTACTGGGCTACTACCTACTGTTTTAATGGAACTAATTCGGTATCGTGTTTTTTAGCTGATTCAACGAAGACATTTGCAGGGAGTTGGTTGTCGAGAGCGACAGACGATGTTGAATATGTCGCATGATCACAGCAACGACAAGTGTCAACGAAATTGTCGGCAAAAGAGAACTGGCCGAACACGACCTTTGTCCTACAAACAACTGTGCCGGTACCATTCATTATCAGTCTGTTTCTGTGTATTTCCCTCGATCTATTTGTGACTACCGATACAAGCTGGCAACAGCGATAAAGACAAATCGTTCTCGAAACTCCATAATCGCGAAATTTTCCATCAGCTAATAGAGCGACAGAAAAAAAAAAGGAATCCAGATAACGCGGCTTACAGTCTAGGAAAAAAGTGAATTAGTTTTTCATTTTGGTACCTCTTTTCTACTGCTAACTGTATGACTGGCTGTTACGTGACGTGACATGACATTTCGTGCTTGTATCCATCGTTGGCCAGCCAATACGATTTTCGGTAGCATTTGCCAACGTTAACAACGACCGAAGGTCCTTCGGGATAGGTCAGGTTGTTCGGAAAGGAATTCCCATTATAAGGGAGCTTAAATATACAACTGACGGTGTCCCCATCTCTCTAGGTGTCCGTGTGTCAGCCGGCTGCTCCAGAAAGCAGGGAGCCTGCCCGACACCTATCTTTATCGGCATAGCCTGCTTTTTGGCAACGGCCTGCTTGGACAGACGATGGATCGATGCGGCTAAAGGGAGCGATTTCCTCGAAAAATAGGATTACTTGTGAACTAAATTATCACCTCCATTACTCCACGTGCCATCCGCACCATCGCCGCCAGGAAAATCAGTCGGAAACGGTGGCAAGTGCGTTTACCTCTCTCCCCAATCCCAGTTTCAGGAGTAGCGGGCCTGCCAGGTTCCAACGCTCTTCCTCCTTCACCAGTAGCCCAAATTCTTTTTAGCACACACCACTAGTGGACGGCTACTCCTCTGACGCTCTCCAAAAGCCCGAGTCTTTACTTACCCAAAGATAGACACAGAGAGATCGCAAGCTAATCGGAGGGTCAAACAACGTTAGTGACCGTGGTAAGTGCCTGATTACGAGAGACAGCGACGGATCGGAGTATTCTGCGGGAGCCTGTATTGCGAAGCTTTTATGAGCTACAGCATCTCTCTCCACCCCACATGAGACAAAAGTCGACAGAAGTACAATATTCCAAATCGAAAACACCACCAAACAAATAGTGTTTCCTTCGAGGGGCCAACAAAAAAAGTTAGAACGAAATGGGTCTCACTGGTCCCTTGCAACGATGACTTTCTGGGTCGACTTAAATCTGTGCCTCAATAATACAGGGCTCGACGCATATCAAGTACCTTTTCGTACCAACGAATAGACCCAGAAACAACTCTTTAAAGCATTTTAAGCAGCACGTGTGGTAAGGAAAGCGAGCATATCACTTATTACACTCACTAAAAAAAGGAAACATCGCTATAACTGTAACATAAGTCAACTTGTTTCAAAACTATATGTTTCAAATTATACTATATGAAAGAGCGAAAATGGTGAGGTCGTAGTGACGAAAGGGACATAGGGCAAAGGCCAAACACTTAAACTGATCTCGTTGATGTTTCTACGGAGTCTTAGGTCGACTGGATGGCGTAGTATAGCTATTTTACCCCCCCCCCCCCCTGCAATGCTGGCGTTCTTAAGGGAATAACAGCAGCGGCAGCAGCAGCAACGAATGTAAAAACCCCAATCACAACAACAACATCAACGTTCAGCTCTGGCAGCTTGAAACAGAGCAGAAGACGAAACGGTTGCTGGGCCTATGTGGCAAATGTCTCTATCTAGACGCGAGCGTGTTATGCAATTTCGTTTCAAGTGCCGAAAGAAAGCCGCAATCGACGCCAGGAGCCGGACTTCTATTCCTCACAGAGTGTCTATACTTCTTGTGGCTCGCTTCAGAAGCTCTGTCGCGTTCCTCAGGAATGACGATTCTAGAAGCACAAGTATCGGCAGGAACGCACATGTGGTATAAACAGCGGGCATACTTGTACAAGTGTTAGTTCCTTCGTCATCGCTTTCGCTATCGACATCGCCGCAACTCCCACAAGCAAACGAGGAACCCGCCTGGCTCGTTCCAGATCGGGCCGATGTAATGTAGCTCAGCATAACAGCTAAGGAGTTCCTACTACAGGATAGCTACACAAAGGCAGGCGCAAGACATCTATCTGCCGGGCTGCGAACGCACCGTCTCGAATGCACCAACGGCCGCGGCCAAAGAAAGCTCGTTGCAGAAAGAAGCTGTTGCAATCAGCCGTGCTCATTTATAGCAGCGGCTATTAATACGTTGCCGGGAAGCAGTTCTGCGGGCTAGTGCTAAAGCGACCAGGTTTGCCTTACCCGGCCACTCGCGACTGCCACTAAACGGTACCCTAATGTTCTCGTACGGTTTGCCCGCGTCTTCCGTGTACCTCCGGCTGCCACCTCAGCCACTTGTAAACCCGCTACCGCAGTCGCTACTATTGCTACTGCTGTTGTGTCACTCTTTTTACCATCGCCTACAGCTACCAGATGCGCGCCCGTCGACGCGACTTTTTGACGCAGCGAATGCCTGCCTTTTCGGCATCATTGCACCAGGGCAAACGATGTTGTCGCACTGACATCAAAACCCTTTCGAACGATACGGTACCGAGGCAGCTAAGGTGAAATTAATAAGCGCGCGCTCCAAAACTTTACAGAACGCATGAAAAAAAGCCACAGTAAGGCTTTGGCCGTCAGGAACAAATACAAATGGTCTACCTGGAGCTACCAAGGGCTTTGTAAGTATCAACAGAAAATACACAACAAAAACGAATTGTATCCTGGATAATATCGGTCTTGACAGTCTTAAGCTGTAGTAATCATAAAAAGTTTTTGCTTGACAATTAAGCAGTATGGTAAAACAGATTCTTGCGATTTGCAAATATTACTGAGTGATCTCGCCAATTTGTCTTCGTATGTGGTTGTAGCCCCGCTATCTTACGAAGTCACCATTATTGATAGGATTAATATATTGTATTTAGGTAGGATGAAATTAAAATCACATGTTTCCACTATAGAACAACTGATTATAGGCTACTAAAATTGTCTGAGGTAGGTAGCGAAGTCAAGATAGAGCGCGACGTAAATTGTTAGAGCTGCCAACCGTAAGTGATATGATAATTTTTGAAAACTTGGGAAAAGTTATAGTCTAACCATGTTCTTACTGTAAAAGATAGGACCCGCTAAGCCCTCGACGCATTTTGCATAGGATCTTTTACCTTGTTCAGACGTTGTATATGAATGTATCTCTCTAATCAAATACTGGCCATGGGCACTTACTCGATATACGGCTATGAGCTACCCTAGCGATTTTTTAGAAATGTCCTTTGTTCTTTCGATTATATATATCTTTTTTTTTTCCTATTTCATATATATATATATATATATCAAATAGTTGTCATATTGTACTGCTACTAGGATCGTTCATACATAGACGCTCTTTATTCGCTCGTTTTTAAATCAATTTACTCTATTGTTGGATTTCAGCGGTAGAATGAGTTGATTGAACAAATCTCTTTTAAAGGCTCGCTCACATCCGCTCGAATTCCGGTCATTGTAACAATATTGAAGTCGGAGCATAAATCAGAGTGTGGTTCCGATATCCAGTAGAGTGGCCAATACTCAGATATTATTAATATACATTATGAATCATATCGATCAAAAATACAAGTCACGTCGCGTATATATCACGCCGGACACTATCTTCGGCAACTATCCAACTTGAAGCTGACAACTTTCACTGCATTAAGGGGAGGAGACGGCTTAAACGGAAGACGGTTTTCATGACTGCGTGGATCGAGCTTACTTCATCTAAATACGGTTTTCATTTGAAAACACGTATGCCATTTGGCGTTTAAAGAAAATTCTCTCAGTCTTCTAAAAAAATGTTTTTAAAACACTGAAAAACGTTTACGGCTGGCTATGAGAATAAAAGCCGTAGTAACACAATCTACTTCATGCCCGCAATGAAATGGGGGATCGTTAAATATAGCAAATAGTTGATATTTGTTGGTTTACAGGTCCTTTCCCTCCGGCTGCTAGACCGGCCTATCCGTTCCTTGTTCTTTGTATCGCTAGTTCGGTAGTAGAGTTCGGTCCCCTTTGCAACACAGAATTAGAAATTATGCAATCCACTCACCCCCTTAAAAAGAGTATTTATTTGCTTCATCTATGACCGTCATATAAGTTTATGTCCTATAAGCAAGTTGAACTCTTCCATAAAAAGATCGGTTTTTTCTTATTGTTTTATGGGTCCTTACACTAAAAACAAATGTGTCTCTCTTTCCAGTCGATTCACAGGGTGATGAGTTGTTCTTGTGCCGAATGACCATTACAAAGATAACTAGGCTCTGTCCAATGGCGCATGGTTTTATTCATTATTGAGAGGAAAAAAGACAACAAGTCAATAGGATAGAAGCTAGAATAGAATAGAATAGAATCACTTATTTGCCATAATGCATAAAGGTTGGAAACATGACGACAGTGTCTTGTGTCGGACCTGTTTGCTTTCAGTGTGCTCCCTCGTAAAACAGACGAGGTTCGGACGATTCTATGAAAAGTGTACGTTTCCCTGGCCTATATGTATAACTATTTCTATGGAGAATGAATGTCTCACATTCGTACTAAAGCTATACGTTTAAAAACATTAAATCTCTGACAGTCTGACACCGCCAGCCATCTTTTTGCCATGTGTTGTTACTCAGCGTTAGCCAAACGTTCTAGCGAGCTATATCGATGTCGAACGGCGCAGCATCGTCAAAAATTATCTACTTCGCGAAGCGCTACATTCAATGGCTATTTGTGCGACAAAAATATGGCGGCAGAGACCTTACCTTGAATTTTTACACTGTTATAACTAGGATGTTTCTATTTGACTTTAGGCACTGGTAAATGTGGCGTATCGACAGTTCAGAGCTACCTCAAAAAGGGACGCTCACACCTGATCGCCTATACTTAGATGTGACTGCTGGAAAAAACGTCAGGTCTCCATTACAGCTTCAACATATATTTCAAACAGTGAACGTGACTTAATATGCGGAAAAACCGTGAGGTTATTGCATGCGGTTGACAAAATGATTAATATGGTAAGCTTCGGTTTCCACTTTTGACCCGTGCGGCCATCTTTGCAAATGGTATTTATATAGAGCCTCTTCTTGCACATAGCGTTCTCGTTCTAGGAACTTTATAAAGATAGCGATAAAAACTCGTGACCTATGCTACTTTTCGTTTTACGGAAACACAAGTGTGCCCTTATTCAAAAAGCTCACGCGTTTGAGCGCTCAAGTAGCAGCCACGCTTCGATAGAGTAACATATATAACGATTTACCAATGTTAAACCTCAATAAACAAGCGAAAAAAGTGCAAATCAATAGCAAATGAGAAACGCCCATTATTTGTCTCCATTGGCCACTATTCGGTCCGGTCATAATTCTATTAAAACGTTGAATCTTCAGGTACTCCACACTTGACGGTAAAATTACAAATGAGAAAACAAGAAAAAGCATGACCTAGTTGCAATTTGTGCGTATGCCCTGACAGACAGCTCACCGTGAAACCTATTTTAAGGACAACATCGGTACAGCCATTGGTAGGTGCACATTGCTTTTACAAACAGTCGATCCTTCCAATCCGTGAAAGGCAAATGTGCTAGTTCAGTGGTCCTAGCTCAGCAATTAGAAGATGCACAGTAGGAGTGTTGAAATAAATCGGTAGCATATTGACAATTAATTACCGTCAATTTGAGCTACCGCATACAAGAGATAAGTAGAAATTGTATATACTATATCGTATAGCATAAACATGAACATAGGCGACAATACTCTGCGATGCAGAATGGTATACGACAATAATTGGCGTTTTCTTTACAGAGAGTTAGTAGATTTGCCAATTGGTAGTCGACTGATTGAAGAAGCTAGGCGTGCCTCATTTGCAATGGTACGCCTTTTGTTCTAACTAGAATATGCGTTATTTTTTCCTATGTGCTCACCAGGCTGATGTTATGGAATTATACGTGGAACACAACAGTACGCGGCTATAATATTCATATGGAATCGACAAAAAAGACCTCGCCAGACAACTGGTTTCACCAGGGCCTTTCGCGGTTTGAGAGGTGGTTGAGGGTCACTTCTAGCATACGAGACCCTCCTGATCGCCGTAACATCAGCAGCACATTCGTAGCGCCCTACGTTTCAAAGAACACGTCAAAAACAACACATGCGACCTCTGCAGTAGAATCGAACTCTCTGTCCGCGATGAGTGTCTCCTCAAGCACAATCAGCCTATTTGATGCACTGAGCGTCACCAACGAATCGATCTCGTGGAACGGGTACCCACAGCCGAGTCTTGATGACGTTATGTCGAGCGCATCGCAACATGTACCGATGACCGATTTAGCCTTAGGCCCGCTTGATATCCTCAACTCAAGTTTTAGAAAACCATGCGACGTTTCATGGAATCTCTCTTCTTCATTATGCGGGCCCTCGACATCGATCGCTTGGAATAACTCCGCGCCTGAGGTGCCTGAGTGGGCCTTGCCATTCCCGCTATGGCAAACTGTATTAATTGCAGGCTTAATCGGGGTCTGCATCCTGTTGACGGTCGCTGGCAACATTCTCGTGCTGACAGCATTTTTTGTCGAACGGACAATTCGTCAACCATCAAACTATTTCATTATATCATTAGCCGCGTCCGATCTGCTCATCGGTGTTGTATCAATGCCATTCTTCGCGCTATATGTTCTTAATGGCCGGTGGGATTTTGGACCAATTTTCTGCGACTTATGGCTAGCGACCGATCATACAGTGTGTCTCGTATCAATCTACACCGTGCTTCTAATCACAATAGACCGATATTGTTCAGTAAAAATTCCAGCCAAATACCGCAGCTGGCGGACGCGCTATAAGGTTATCTGGATGGTGGCAATTACGTGGGTGGTACCATTCCTTGTGTTCTTCATATCAATACTCGGCTGGGAGCACTTCATTGGCTACCGTGACCTCGACGATGGGGAATGTGCTGTACAGTTTCTCAAGGATCCCGTATTCAATACGTCGTTAATATTTGGCTACTTCTATTGTACGATGATCGTGCTGTTCATCTTGTATGGAGGCATTTACAAGACGGCCAGTGATATGCAGCGCCGCAGTGCGGAGAAACAACGCAAAATGCAATCCATAGTTTCTCTAGGCAGAGGCCAAGCCGGTGCTAGCCCGTGCGTGGCTATTACCGACACTTTTTGCGGGTCGGGAGGCAAGGACATCCAAGTAACTAGGGAAGGCCACATCGGGCCTCGCGGAATTCAAGGGGTCGGAGGAGGATCTGATCTCAGCGGACGTATTGGTGGTGCAGGTAGCTGTGCGAGCACTATAGCTTCGGTTGATTCGTCAACGCTGTGTACATCACAAATTCGGCCGACCGGAAGCACTCAAATGCCCTTCGAGCGAAAAGAAACCTCGGAGCAGGATCGCTCATCGAGTCCAGGCTTTGAGTCCGACGAAGAGGATGAGTCGCAGGATGAGGTGAATAAGAAACGAGAAGCAAAGCCTAAAACTCCTAAGCCTCTTCAGCCCAGCAAGACGAAATGCTTCAGGAAGGACAGCAGGATGTCGATTGTAGATGTGATGCGCCTAGCACCACCAACGTTTGCTACGAAAGAAGCTTCAGAGCTGGCAACCATCGGAAGCCTGCCTGGTCTCAGCTTCGGCTTTAGGGCCAAGGGCCAGCATCAGCCGCAACCACATGCGAACGCCTCGGCCGACAAACCGAAGCCACCGAATTCGCTGAACATCAACAAATTGCTCGTTATTCGAGAAGTGGCATCTGACATATCGGATATTTCGAGCTCAGTCCGTCGCCTCGGCGCGGACAGCACGACCTCAGTATTGCCGCCAACGGTGGAAAAGAACCCGCCACAAACAGCTGTGCAGTTCACGTCTGATCACGCAGCAAGCCCCAAGTTGGAAGCCAAGGCTAGGCAGGGCGAAGGTCTACCTTCACCAAAACATAGCGAACAGCAGCTGGAAGAAAAAAATGAGGTGGGCCTGAGCCAGAACAGACCGGAGCAGGATGATCTGCCGTGTACCAGCATCAGTGTTCCCCTTGACAACAGTAACCAATTGCCGTCAACGCCAATCAGCTTAAATTGCAACACCTCTGGAGGGAGGCCAACGCATTCCATTCTTGTAGCAAGTACTGCCAAGGACAGTAGTGGCAGTAACAAGGATAGTACGAAGGACAAGGCCAAAGGTTTAGCTAGTTCGACCACAATAACGGCAAATAACTCTAATTACAAAACCCCTCTAGCCGCTAGGAATTCGACGGATTGCACTCGTAGCGGCAGTAGGGTAGCTCCCGCAGATATTGCGATCGTAGTTGACCCATCTAGTTCAGGCAACCAACAGGCGCAGGTCAGCGGTATGCATCTTACGGTACCCGACTCAACGATGTTAACCAAGAACCCACTCGTCAAAGGCGACAGCTCCAAGTCCAACAAGGTATATAATTATGATATTACTTTTTCGAGACTATGTGCGTGCATACCCTTAACAAAATAAATTTATAATTATGTGTCGTGCTTGAATGATATCGTGGTTTGGACTAAATGAAAGGCGAGAAATTAGGGACAATCGACGAAAAGCAAACTACTCCATGACTAGAAATAGATACACAATTAATTAATTGATGTTCTTAAGAGCCATTGAACTTTACTGAGCTATAAAATTAAACTATACTATCACACTATAAAACTAGCATCGCCTTCCTTATTCCCTACCTCTTAAAATTCACCATCTTCCTTAGATGTAAAGGTTCCTACCAATGTCCTGCTACCCTGTTCGAGATAACATCAAAGAACGTTTCAAAGTATAGAGTGAAATTAGGTCGACACATTGCTGATAACATATGGTAGGGAAATTCAGGGCACGTTTTCAGTGACTGAGTTACAGCTCTATGTGTACCAACTGTGTATATACTACTACATAGGAGGTCCCAAGTAGATCAGTATCCCCGAAGCAAATGTTGTCGCCTTGAAGTGACGAAATGTTTACGATAACAAAGAAAGCGATGCTAAAATTAAACGTTTATGCACAGTATCCCCTGTGCGCTAAAAATATTGTACTCGAAAAAAGTATTAATTAGTTTAACATTGGACCGCTACGAATATTTGAATGTTACAAATGGCAAGTCCTGTTCTTTACCTCCGCCCCGCCCCCCTCTTCCTCCCCCATTTCCATCCCAGTAGTATTTCCCATAGCGTCGACGGTTCGACAAATTGGCAAATGGCAAACTAGACGACGGCCAGCACCTACTTAGATTTCGGTATTTACGGATAAACATTCCGAAATACAAGCATACCACCAGTGCGTCCCTATTACCGTACTGGCATCGTTTAGGCCATTTTTCCTCGTTTCGCTGCGCGCTCAGGGCGTTAGCTGGCAAAGGCAGCGTTGATCGATATCTGTGAGCAAGATGAAATAGTGTTATGTAATAGAATTACGCTGTAGTTAGCTTTTCGCTGCTCTGCTGTTTGCAGATCTCACGTAAATAGGCGAGATGACTTTAGGCGTAAGGGGAAATCGATACGTTAATATTCAAATGTCCCATTTGCTGAAAATTAACCAAACGATGGCTGAAACAGCCGTTCTCATGCGCCTAATTATCGAAACGCTTTCTGGCCCAGGGGCATTGCGCTATGTGCGTGACAAGCAGAAAACGTTGAATTCAATTATATTTTTCATTGCTGACTTCGCATTACTACATTGACTAAAAATGCCATTTCATGGTTTATTGCCAACGAAGTCTCTACTATTGACTATGAACCTTTTTTTTTTCTAGTTAAACGACTTGAGCTATTTTGCCTGTAATCTCGCTCGTTACTATTTCTTCACAGTAACTTAAGTACCCATCCGGTTATATACAGGTGAGCGTGTCAAATATATTCCTTTGCCTAAGTAAAACTGCATTTGGATTACGAAGCTGCCAGTGTAGCTTGGATCTGATACCGAAATGAACGGATCGTCACTTTGTTTTCCTGTTATCGTTTAATACTTACAAAGGAAGTTTTTCTCTTTAAACACACTTACAACTTTCATGTATAATAATATATAATAAACCCAAATAATAACCCCGTATATAACTGTATAGCAGAAAAAACAGGAGACCTGCAAAGGCTCGTCCAGTGTCCGAACGCCGTATCTTAATTCCTCTCAAATGCAAAACAGAAGTTTGCATATATGCAGTGTTTTGGTGCATACTTGATACCTCAGAGAGTATCCAGTCAGTTTGGTAATTTAAACGCTAGTTTCAACAGACGTTACGTTAAGGTTCATCGGGAAATAGATGTAGCATATTACTATTTACCTTGGTCCTACTAACTTCTATAGAAACTACTAGGCTAGATTTTTCAGTACGCTTTATTCAAACTTACTCTTGGGACAGCTTTCTGATGAAGACTTGAAACAGACTTCTTCTGATCACTTTCTTCCCTCATGCGAAAGACAAAACATTTCTTCCAACCCTAGCGACGTTCCCCGAAAGCGACGTGAATCAAATTATCAGTAACATTTTCATCAGTCTTTTCGCTCTGATTGAGTTGACCTAAAATATCTAAGACTGAGGTAAAGTGGACTTTCAGCACGGAATGACGATGAGAGCAGTGAAACGCACAAAAGTCAGTACTAAGATTTGCGACCTTCTCTTTCTGCCTCTACGCCCTTCGTTTTCAACTCCTTTTGTGTGTAGATATGCATACTTCATTTTAATTACTTTGAGCTTCAGGTAGAGCAAGCAGCTCGATAGGAGATGAACTTGTCTATGATTCATTCATTAAAACTACAACTGTAAATCACGAGAAATGTCCGCACGCCGAAAATGTGTTTCATATTTTTCTAATAGAGTCCCAAAAATAGTCGATAATGGCAGCTTCTGCAATAAAATATCAAGCCACAAGTTAAACCGAAAAAGCGCGCGCTAACAGGATCAGATCTATCGCATTTTATGGCTGCTAATTGATTCAGACGATTCTTTATGCCAGTCCCGAACCAGAATGTTAAACAATGTCATCTACGAAATCAATTTATAAAATTGTATGTAGAACCAGTGAACATATTGTTGATCCGCTTGCAACCTTTACTTCGTCAATCGGTACGAAACGAAAACGTCGTAGAGTGCTAAAGACGACGTCCAATTAATATCCCAACCAAAAAGTATAACTTTCAAGTTCGATCACGAATAGTATTCGACTGTCAAGCGGGAAATATAAATAAAGGCTATAGAACTGCAATCTGTCCATATTGTTACTACGTTTCCGGCTGCGTACCAAGCCAATCATCGAGACATAGCGATGTCCGTTTACCCTAAAGCCCTTCCATAAGATACACTCAACAGAAAATATTATTTGTAATTAAGAGATCGCCGACTAGAACAGATTTGCATAGGCTAACAGTCCCAGAGAATTATGCAGGACAGGTCACTGGAAAATTTCAAGGAACTAACCGCCGGAATTCCTATACGCTATTTCAACCATGAACCCGTGCGATACTGCTTGAACAATTCTCTTATCTCGATTCTTCAGGATGGTGACGCTGAATGGTACGACGGCGGCGGCGGCGGCGGCGGCGGCGGCGGCGGCGGCGGCGGCGGCGGCGGCGGCGGCGGCGG